AAAAAAATGATTATGTTTGTTATATTCCAATTTCAAATTTCATGAAGGTCCGGGGAGGATTGGGCCTGATCTAATCAAAGCCCAAACACATCATTTTGTTGGATTCTGGTCCACAATCCATTGCGTATTGGGCTTTGTGCTCTTAACAAGCCCACTTATTAGTTTAAATTATTTAATTTTACAAAAAGGTTTAATTTACAATTTTCATTTATCTCCTTACAAAAAGGAAACCAAATTCTTACTTAAAAGAGAACAAAAGAGATTAAAAAAAAAAAAGCAAAAACAAAACTATATTCCTAAAATATATATGAAACAACTCTTCATCTAATTTACCATTTTGTCCTTCAACGCCAAACACAATTCCTACTTACCTGAAAAATACAAAACAAAATAAACACGAAATCCTCAGATCTATTTAGTATTATTTTTTATTTCTCAAATTTTAATGGGTGAAAATATATAATAATAATAAATAAAAAAAAAAAAAACGATTACCCATGAACAGAGGCGATGATTCTACATGAGAACCGCGCAATGCATGTGGTGGCCATGGGCGGAGAAGGAGCCATTAACGGAGTTGGGGGTGCCGAAGTCGATCTTCAAATCGTCACAAAAGACTCTCAAAATAACGTGCCTGGTCCACCAAGACCCAGATTGGAAAGTGGTCCATACGAAGAATCTCAAATTGAAACTCACTTTCCTCGTCGCCTTCTCCTTCCCCAATTTCTCCTCTGTCTCCTCCCAATTCCCCGGATCATCAGGGCTACTCGACGTCCATCTCACCCGCATTAGGTTAGTCCTCTCCACGGCAAGAAAAAACGGGTCCGCAAACGACATCGCCAGCGTGTTGTCCTTATAGCCCACGAACCCCTGGATCCGCTTGAAAGTCAGGTTCAATTTCTTGTTGGGGTTCTGGACCACCAAGGTCGCGTTCCAGTTTCCGGAGTAATTCGATTTGGAGATGTTAAAATTGGTGACGCCCAAGGTATCAACTCTGAACGTTGGGATTTCTGGTCGGAGGATGATCCAGGTGATTATGCTGGTGAGCATCATTAGAACCACCAGAATTATTAAGGCGGTAACAATGCCGCGGATGAAGGAGGCGTGAAACGGCTCCACCGCGTAATTTTGGGGGCTATTGTGGTAATAGGCGGCGGGAGGGGCTTGGGCGTAGGCGTAGCCGTTGTAAGGTGGGTAAGCCCCTGGCGCTGGAGGGTACCCCGGATGTGGGGCTGGAGGGTACCCCATGGTGGGAGGAGGGTAGATCGGAGCTGGGTTGTGTGCGGCGGAGGGCGGCGGAAGAGGTTGGGAGTCGGTGGATTTGGATTTGGATTTGGATTGTTGATTGTCCGATGAAGAGGCCATTCTTTTTTCCTGCTCTCTCTCTCTCTCTCTCTCTCTCTCTGTGGCTTAGGGAGAGAGAGAAAGAACAATAATGGAAGGGGGAAGATGGTGGAGAAGGCTTGGATTATGAGGGAGTTTGTTAACGCTTTTCTTAGAAAAGACGGCGGAACCAGATGGTGGAGAAGGCTTGGATTATGAGGGAGTTTGTTAACGCTTTTCTTAGAAAAGACGGCGGAACCAGATGGTGGAGAAGGCTTGGATTATGAGGGAGTTTGTTAACGCTTTTCTTAGAAAAGACGGCGGAAGGTTCGGACATCGTCTTCTTCAACCTCTGTTTGGGAACACCATTTCCCAATAAAATATGTTATAATTTAATAAAATTCATAATAAACTTCAGGACTGAATAATATATATATATATATATTTTAAGAACAAACCCACCACTCGTAACCCATTTATTTATTTTCTAAAAAAAAGAAAAAAAGAAAAAAAAAGGGGAGATCCTACAGGTATTACAAAATTAATTTAGTCATATTCTAATAAATAAATAATAATTGGAAGGTATTTCATCCGATTTCCTTTTACGGGCGGTTGCCGAAAAAGTGGCACTCTAAACCAGATTTTGTCGTTATAATTTAAAAATATTATATTCTGTTAAAAAGATATAAAAAGGAAATCCCAATACAGCCCCCCCAACATGACAACCGAAGACTCTGGACAAAAGGATTGAATTGTCTTTTTCTATTGACGAATAACAAGACTTCAGAATCGTTGAGCTAAAAAAGAACATTAATTAAAATGATATAGAAGAGCAAAAATTTAATTATATCAAATATATTGAAAAGATAGGCTCTTAAGGAAGGACAAACTGCACACAACGTTTTTTTTTTTTTTTTCCTTTTCCTTACGTTTCACAAAAAGGAAAAGAAAAAAAAAATATGCCTTTTGGTCAAAATAGTCACACAATTAAAAAAATATATATAATAGGTGGATGATGGACCCACCTACTTCTCTGTGATCAACGGCCTTGATCTTTTCGATTGAAGCGCCATATGATCCAATTATAGCAAACGGAATACTAGGTACACTTTCCTTTCGGTGTACTCGACTCCACTGGAAAAATTCCAATCCTTCTATCTACCTACTCTGCTATTCACACGCAGTTGAGCGCACAATATGAACCGAAAATAAGCTATTTCGGGTCGGATTCTTTCACGGGTCGGGCAATTGGACCGGCGTGTGACCGGAATCCCGTCGTCACGGCGTCGTGGGCGCAGCAGTGAAATCCGGCCGCCACGCCTGTTTCTTTGGCATTCAGACAGTCCCAGCAGACTGCCGTTTTCAGTCTCGTAGTGCCGTTCTGGACGCCGCCTCCGCCCAGCGCCAGATTGCGTTGCCCTATGTTGATTAAGTATTTCTCCATCTCTAATTGTAGCTTCCAAAATCGCTGGTCGTATTCGAATCGGTTCGTCGCTGGCGAGATGAAGCCGGGGAGTAATTCGTTTTCGATGCCAGTGTTTCGTTTCAACAGCATCACATTCTCCAGTGGATTTTTCTTCTTTGAATGATTCGTCTTCGTCATTGTCTTTGTGGCCGATGAGAAATCGTATTCGTCTTCGTTTCCCTGGATCTTTCGCCTTCTCTCGCGTCGAGACCGTTTCAGAACCACGAGAAAGAAACAGTTCTTCTCGTGTGCGATTGCGCCGAAGTTGACTTTCCCGGTGATAGGGATTCTCCGCCGAATCTTTGCCGTGGAATCCATAGAGATCTTATACTCCGCTAAGTAAACCGTGAACTGGTGCGAAGAGATTCCGATCATCTTACTCAAAATCGACTGAAAATTCTTGAACTCCGTCGAAGAAGACACAGCGACGGAACCGACGTCGGCATCTCGTTCGCCGTCATGAAAAACGACCGGGAACGAAACGCACCCGGCGGTCTCCACCATCGCCGCTACAAATTAACCGATTCTTCTTCAAGAAGAAAAAACAATCATCCGAAGGGTTTTAGAGAGAAATCTTGAAGGAAGCTGTGGAGGCTTTTACAAGAGTAGGCCTTGGGTTTTTATGCTAACAACTACAGGCGGTGAGGGTATTTTCGGAACTAAACAATATATTTGGGGCCTTGGTGCCAAGCAAAACAAGGGAGGAAATTTTAATAGGCTTTTATATAAGGAAAGAGACTTGGGAATCAAGTAAACCAAAACGACAGCGTAATGATCGCATTGGGGGGCGCTTAGACCAAATTGGCCCTCTGAGTAATAGAACTCTCTCGTCAACGCCTCGTTGGAAGGGGATTCCGCTTTGTTCTTGCCTCTTCCGAGCTTCGTCATCATCCATGGAGTTTCCTCCAGAAAGATACAGAAGAAACGTTGGGATTTCTCGCTTTAACTTTACTGGAAAAGTAATTTTGCTTCGTCATCTTTCTATCTTTCTCTGTTTGTTTGATTTTTTTTTTTTTGTTTTTTTTGTTTTCTTCTGTTGATTATGGATTTTTCTCTGTCCAATTAATTCCTTAGCAGATTTTTGCTGCTTCATGGCTGAACAGGCAAGAAATCTTGGAAATGCCTCAGGTAGTTTCGTCTTTTCCGTCATATTTTGAGCTTTATTCATTGGCAAAGAGAAAAGTACCAACGTCTCTCTGCCTTTTGTTCTGCTTCTCGCTTTATTCTGTGCGAATTAGAACATATAATTATAGGTTCGATGTCTGATGTCCTCGTGAGAATATCCGAAAATTCTTTTTGTGCTCCCTTTTCGAAGAACACATCAGGTGTTTTCATATTCGAGTATGAATTTCGAGAATCCTGTGAAATGAGAAGGGGATTTTTGCTCATCTCTCTCGAATTCGAGAGAGTATTAGTGGGATTCTTGCCATGGCTTCCATTAAACATCTGTATTACATGTTTATTGTACTGTTTTGCACTTGATGATTATTCAATGGCTGGTATTTATCATACTGATGGAAACTTTAGACAAATTGTGTGTGATTTTTGCGTTCTATTATCACGCGGGTTTTCTTGGAGTTAGAAATTAAGGCATTTCTTATACCATCTTTATTATTTCCTGCATAACTTGAAGCTCATGGAAGATCCTTAAATTTGTTTTCTTATTTAACCGATCGTCCTTCGACTAAAAATGATTCTCCATCATACATGGTGGTGCAAATGAAGGGGAAGATCTCAAAACTGCAGCCAAGGAGTAACTTCTGCAGGAATTATAGCAGAGGCACGCAATCTTAGATGCTTCCAGATAGATATACAACGATTTAGCCTCTATATCTCGTCTTCTACTATATGATGAACTTTAGAAAAATGAATTCTAGCTTCGTTTAATCTTGTGATGTTAAGGAATCTCCTTCTTCAAAAGTGTCTCCGCAGTTTTGTTCTTTCTTAGTACAATCTTATGCTTATCTATATTGTTTATCCTTAAAAAAATCTATAGCAAGCTTATTTGGTAACTGTTATCATCTGCTCCGAAAACTCAGTCGATGTGTATAGATTATGTTTTCCCCTTCAAGCTTCCATGATGGTTTGATTGATCCTAAAGCTCGTTAACAAACAAACAGGTTTCTTCTGAAGTTCACTGGAAAAGACAAGATAAATCTTCTGGGTGGAACTGAAAGGAAAGAGTTTGGCAAGTGGTTATGGATGTCATTTGAACAGATACTAAACTGGGCCTATCATATCAAAAGGGTTGTCGAAAGAGAACCCGGCTACCTATTTCATTCGACGTTCCGGGGCGGGGGGTGAGTAAACTTCTCCTTGCTTCATTCTTTTCATTGCAACAATTTACCTAAGATCTTTATAATCGTTTGAACAGGATGCTAATTCCCGGAAGCCTGCTTATGCGCAAGTGATGAAAGATTTTGGTAACTTCATACAAGGAAATCGGGAAGATGCCATTTCTTTTTAGCAGAGGGAAACCCAATTAGTTAGGTGAAGTGTTCAAATTCTGCTGTGGGAAGAAGTTAATATATTATTCATGGATCGTAAGATCATTATATACCATACGAATCACGGGTTGTATTCTTATATTTTCGTTGTTCGAATAAGAATGCTAAAATTTCTAATGCACGTTGTTTGATCCGTTTGGAATCTTGACCAGGTATGGATTCATGTTCATACTGGAAATCTGAGGGGAAGATATTGGAATCAGAACCTTCACACATTTGTCCAGCTATAAAAGGATTGAAGTGTGCAAATATGAGATGGTAAATGATTTCCAGGAGCGTGATTGTGACGCTCTTCTCCTTTTAGCTTTAAAGCTACGTTTGGAAGAATGAGTATGAAGGAATTTTGATTCATAGAATGGAATCAGAACGTGGGTTTCACTTTTAAATTTGGAATTATTTTTTCTATCTATATCGATTGACATAGTTGTTTTTTTTTGGTATCCACAATGAATTCAAATCATCTCTCAGTAGCTTTGTGAAGAAGAAGAAAAAGAAACTTAAGCACGTGCATTGAAGCTACCTTTTACTTTTATGAATCCAGTGCTGTCCAATCTCAAGTGATGATTTCATGAACTAAGTCCTCTGGTTGGTTGATGCTAATGCCATCTCATAGCTAGTCATCAAGCAGTGTCAGCGAGAATACCGGAGTTTCAAGAGGGTGGATTGTGAGATCCCATGTCGGTTGGTGAGGGAAACGAAAAAACCTCTTCTTAAAAGATGCGATCCCATGTCGGTTGGAGAGGGAAACAAATAAACCTCTCCCTAAAAGACGCATTTTAAATCCCTAAAAGACGTGTTTTTAAAATTGTGAGTTTGACGACGATACATAACGAGTAATGGGTCAAAATGGATAGTATTTGCTAGCAGCAGACTAATCCGATTATTACAGCTTCCAATTCAATTTCATTTCGTTCCATTCTGATTACTTGCCCGTGCCCAGTAATTATTGAACCAATCAATTAATATAATTAAGTCCCCCTGTGGTGCAAGCTTGTTTCTATTTCCTAGCCATTTGGCTATTGTTATTTAAATAAATTAAATAAATGTTGCATTTATGACCAAACCTTGTAATATGTATATATATATAAATCATTTTTAATATGAAAATGTAACCTTAAGTGTGAGACAAGACCGATTGATCTTATAAAATTTAAATAATATTTATGATGAATTTTATAAAACAACTAATTCTAATATTTAAAAATGTTAGAATAATTTGTCCATTAAAAGGCGTAATATAAATTTTATAAAGAAATAAAAATAAAAGGGACGGTGGAAATTCTGCAATTAGCAGTCGTCTTGCTCACACCTCGAAGGGCTTTAGGGAAAGAAATCGAAAGTAGTAAACATCGGCGGAGGGTAAATGCGACAGACGCAGCTGCCAGCGCAGGGCCTGACTGCGACGGTGAGCCCAACCACTGTTCTGCGTCACTCTTCCGGATCCGCGGAGGAGGCGCCGCCGAAGCAGGTCGCACTCGCCATGGACAGACTCGGCCATGCCGCCCGCCTCATCGCTGACATCAGGCTCGGCGCTGATCGCCTTCTTGAAGCCCTCTGCGTCACTGCACAGCCTCACCAGAGCACCAAGCCTCTCCACTTGTTCCAAAAAGAAGACGCTTCCATGCGCCAACACCTTCTTGACCTTCGTGCTGTTGGTATTTTGCATCACTTATTTTTCTAGGGTTACGTCTATGATTTGAATGCGCTTTCTTAGGGTTAATTAAAATCATTTCGGTAGCGGGATCACTCATTCGCTTACTTCCCGGACTAGTCGATTTTAGATTCAAAATGCCCCTATTGAAGAGGGGGTTTAATTTCTGCTGGACGAGATCATACAATTGAAAGAAGGGTTAAACGTTCGCAAGATTTTAATTATTTTACTTCTAATTTTGTCAGGAAAGCAGCTTGAAGAGTCTGGTGTTCTCAGTGAATCTCTTCTTTCGAGAAGTAATTCCTGGGGTCTACATATGCCTTTAGTGTGTCCTGATGGCGCAGTGGTTGCTTATGCTTGGAAACGTCAATTAGCTGGCCAGGCTGGTGCATCAGCAGTTGACAGAACCAGGTTGGTTGAGACATTTCGCACATATCTATCTAGGAAAAGTAGCTGCTCAAGGGCTTGGATTGGGAAAAACTACTTAAATTTGCAAGTTCACTCGATGTTTCTTCATATTGCTTAAGGCGGTAGCGTGTTAATTTAGACTCAACTCGCTAAATTAAGTTTCCCAAATTCCTTTTATAGAGATAGTAGGAAACTGGGCTTCCAGACTCGGCTTGATAGTTTTAGTAAGTTGTGGTTGATATTTAAGGAAATTCAAGCCTCTAACAGACTGGATATTGAGTTGCTTGTAGCAACTTGACTTTTCCGGGGCAATATTTTTGAAAATACGAAGAATTTGATCAATTATCTTATATGCATGTACGTAAGTTTATTGAATGGTCAACAATGAGAACCTGATTTGTAAGATGAATAGATGCGTTATGGAAAATGATATTCAGGCTACGGTTGATATTGAACAATATAAATTATTTTTATTTATTTTGATCATTTTTGTGTCGAAACCAGATTGTAAGGGCCCCTGAATCTAATGAAGTGATCACACAGTCTCATTGTTTTTTTCACCTTCTCCGGGTTTTAATTGTTTAACAAGTTCTCTGATTCAGAGAGATGAAGTTCACAAATGATTGGCTTTAAAATGTTTTGCTTCTATTTTACTGTAGGAGAGTTTCAGTTGCCACTAAAGTTCAATATAATAGGCAAAATCTGGTAAATTTTAATCCGACTTTCATTAGTTCAGGTAAATGCTTAACTGAGGCTTTACTACATTTATAGGTTAGCTCTAAAGGCCTTCACTGACCAGAAAAGACGGTTTTTCCCTCATCTTGATGAAGAAAATGGGTCGAATATGGAGCCTGCTCAAAAGAAGCCTTGTTTTTCTCATGGAGTGACAGATGTTAAACAAGAGGAGCTTAATGATTCTAGTTCACTTTCAGATATTCTAACATGTATGGAAAAGGAAGTGCCAGACCTTAAGATTTTCACATATGAGCGATTGGACTGGTTGAAACAAGCTTCAGCACTTCCCTCACAAGCAAATGAAAATTCCATAGGAGCATTGAAAGAACATAACTATCATAGTCCTAGGATGAGCCCCAGATCACTTGATGCTACTTCTACTGATAAAGCTGCTGTGATTGAGTTGATAATCCCTTCTGTCTTTAGAGCCGTAGTGTCGCTGCATCCAGTTGGTTCGGTTGAACCAGATGCTGTAGCTTTCTTTTCTCCTGATGAGGTACTCTATTTTGTGCTAAGTACTCATTGGCAAAGTTTTCTTACTCATTATTTTGTTGTACTGGCTACAAGAAAATTCTTTCAATGAGCTGTGCTATTGTCTGTGAATGCTCTGGGAGTTTCTTTTCTCCTGATGAGGTACTTTACCTGCCAGTTGTGCATGTCTAACGATTTGCAACCAGTTGATTTATGAAGTAGCTGGCGTGGATCAATAGTGATTTGTTGTAATGCTTTTTATGTTCTATTTGTAGCATTGTACTTTAGCAGAACTGAGAGTAAGGTAGACATGATTTTCATAGCAAATGCAATTAGACTTTCTTAGTTGTATTCCCACCTGGTTTGATTCATTGCACCTTTTCCCATTGATTTTCCTTGTATCTCAAGGACTTAAGTTGGTTACTATTGCAGTTTATTTATAAATTTTTTGTGTTGCAACAGAGAGGCAGCCATGTACATGCCAGGGGTTTTTCGAATCATCATTTATTTAGACATGTGACGGTACCTATCGCTTTGTTCATTATGTTTACGAATTCATGTTTCTGGAGTTTGCACTCTCTTAATGACGATAATTCCTTTTTCTCAATGCAGGAGCATGCTGCCACGGTGCTGCAGTACTTTATTGGAATTCAAGCTAAAGCAGCTCTACATCCTCTATTGGTAACATCGTCCATTAAATTTTTGGACATGCTTATTCTTTCTCCACTCCATTTAAAATCCTCGAAAATTTATATGTGGTATTCTTTTTTTGTAGCTTTGGATCTGCAGCTATCAAAATTTATTTTCAAAAGCTTGTAGGTGCGTGTAAGGATTTTCAGTGCTTTCGCAATTGGTTCTATATGGATTTGACATTTTAATGGTGTGTTAATCTGGTCTTTTGCAGTAAATGCGGACGGCTACTATCAGTAAACAAACAATCAGATTTACTGCTACCTCCTGCAATTCGCCCCTACAAGCAGTTTTGTACATCTAAAATTTCATCAGTTGTGCCCGTAACCTCATTGAAAGACCAGAAGTTGGATTCTGTTCAGGCTTTCCACATTGGTTGCTTCACAGAACTGTAGTCACACCTAGCTCTACAGGTATAGCTGGATAAACCACACAATTGCTCGATCCTTTTAAAAGCCTCTAGTTGATTATGAAATTATTTTATCTGGTAACAGTTGATTACGGTAGTCACACCAGTTCCTTTTAATCAACAATTGCCGCTATTCAAGTTTGCTAAGCTCACTTTTTCATGGCTCATACTACGACATTTAGTCTGTGTTATATCAAACATCGCAAGGGAATTTTCTCTTCTTTCAGCCTCTGCTCTGATTACTTTGTTCTGGTCCTTTGCCTTTTACTTGCCTTCTTCCAACTGAACCATGTTTTTCTTAACTTCTACTTATCATCACTTTGTTACTAACAATAATGGTTATAATTCCTTTGAGCACCTCATGGACTCTGATTCACATATCATACAATATCAGTATTTTCCATGAATTAGTATGCTCAGAATTAGAAGAGGACGCAGCCTGCTTGCTATATTGTACTGCTGTCGTTGATTCACTAGCCCGTGCATTATATTTCATTTCAGGTGCTACACGGTCATTTGTAAATTGCTGCACTGCGTTGCAACAAGTACATTAGAGGGAGTGGTATTCAGAATATTCAGAGGAGGCAATGATAATGTCAAAAGAACCATCCAATTTCTGAGGTGGCTATTTTTATGCTGGCTCAAGTGGCTTGTCATCTTGAAGGCAAGAAAATGTCATTTGCATCGATTTGAGCAGTTGCTAGCTCCTTCATACGTTTGATCACAGAAACATTTGTATCTTGTCCCTTCAGATTGATGTTAGAATGATAATAAGTTCGGTGTTGGGTGCACGGCCATTTAGGTAAGTGCTTCATCATTTACTTATTCTAATATTATCTTGTACTCTACTAATTTCCCCTCTTCCACCTAACTTTGCCGTCAATATTTGCTTATTATTTCAGTTAGCAACAAAATTTGGAAATGCGATGATTTGTATTAGATGTGGGACTATGATAATACATCATAATTTCAATTATATGTGACAAAATTTGTATGAAGATGACTAAATGTAGAATTTAGTGAACGTTGAATGACCAAAAAAAAAAAAAAGCTAGAAGTTGAAGAGCCACAACGAAAACGTCATCTCGGATTGATTTCTCATCCATCCTCGTTACCAAGAGGAACTTTTTTCCTCTGTTATCTCTGCTCTGCCTTTTTTCCTCCCTCCTTGTAACATTCTCAATCCAACAACAAACAAACAAACACATCTGGAAATTTGTATCCGAAACTCGAGATGCAAGAAGTGCAATTCGAGAACACTTGCGTAGAACTGTCCAGTTTCAAGGACCATTGATGTTATCTTATCTATATATATATATATATATATACATCGGCATACCCAAAAATCATAGCCAACAATTGACAGAATTCTCTGGTATCAGAAATCTCCAAATTAAACGCAGTGGAACCAGAAAAGAACTGGAACATATTCAGCTACCTATCCAAACAGAAGCTATCCACCTACTACAGAAAAGCAAGAGGCAAAGAGAAGCATCAAGGTGTACCTCGTGTTCTTCAACGACCATCGCCCGAAGTGAAGGACTCCGCAAACCCAGTTGGCCTCGATGGTATGCTGCCCTTGCTGTCTTGCAGCTCAGAATAACTCAAATCCTTCCCTTCTGATTCTTGCCATCCCTTCACCATTTGATTTAGGGGTAGCCTGTAATCCACTCCTGAATATTCCTCTGTGGTCTCCTCATCAAATGGCTTCCATTTCTCAACGAGCGGAGCAAGTACGCTCACAGCATGACTCATATCGGGTCGTTGTAATGGATCCCTTGTCGTGCAATGTCCAGCTAATTCAGCAATCACGCATATGCTTTCAAATATATCTTCTTTACAATCCAAGGTAGGATCCACAACATCCATCAGCTTCTGCCTGTCCGATTTTATATGCCAGAACCACGCAGCAAGATACTGGCTTTCTTCCGGTCTATCTTCGTCGAGAGCCGTTAGTCCAGTCAATAGCTCCATTAGAACAACTCCAAAACTAAACACGTCGGCTTTCGTAGTAATTTTACCCGTCACTGTATCCACGAAACCATGAAACTAGAAGTTAGAGGGAACTAGCAAATTCTTTATCCTACAGTCTACTTTTTACAAACACATAAAAAAGCTTACCAGCATATTCTGGCGCCAAGTAACCAAATGTCCCTGCAAGTCTGGTTACTACAGATTTTTGACCCTCAGGCGCTAGTTTAACCAATCCGAAATCAGAAACTTTTGCTCTAAAATCATCATCAAGCAAGATGTTCGAAGATTTGAGATCGCGGTGGATGAAGCTCTGACGGGCTAGACTGTGAAGATACTCCATTCCTCTAGCAACATCCAAGGCAATGGTTAACCTCCTGTTCCAAGAAAGAGGCTCAAGCTTTAATCTTTTCCAACGAAAAAGATGCTTGCTGAGAGCCCCTTCAGACATATATTCATAAACAAGAAGTCTCTCATTTCCTGCAATTGAGTATCCCAACAGTGACACCAAATGGCGGTGTCGTACCTTTGAAAGAACTGCAATTTCAGATTGGAACTCATCCAATCCTTTACTGCTAATTACACCTGCCTCCATTCTTTTCACTGCTATTTTTGTTCCATCATCCAATTCTCCCCTATAAACTACTCCGAACCCACCACGACCGAGCTCGTTCTCTGAAGAGAAATTATTCGTCACGTTTCGTAGAACTTGTACAGATATGACAAGATTTCCAGATTCAATGCCATGAGAATCTCCAAGTCCAGTTTTACCGCTCCCCGACGCTGGAGAAGTACTATTATTATTGTTATTTGCAACAACAATCTTAACCAAATTGCTGGGATCAGATGGATCTCCTGGATGAACGACCAGAGAATTTTGAGCCTTGTCTTTGCTTCTCCTCTTCTTAATCAAGTATATACACAGAGGAATAGCCACAAACGCAACAGCTACCAGACTCACAATAGGAACTACAGTAGAAACTATAATTGATGCCTTGGGACGTTTAGATGTTTGTCCCATCCCATTTCCAGAATCAGAAACCAGTCCTGCCGTCGGAGAAGAGTGGCTGTCGGAAGGTGATAGGTCTCCAGGAGAGTGGCTGCTGGGAGCTGATACGTCTCCGATTCCTGATGGTGGGGAAGACGGGGAAGACGGGGAGGACAAGGAAGACGGGGCTTGCTTAACATTTAACAAAGGGTTCCCACTTGTAACAAGTTTCACAGAGCTTCTGAATTGAGGCAAAGGAGGGGATATGTTATTGTCACTCACATCCAACAAAGTAAGAGACTTCAAAGTAGTCAATTTCGAGGGAATCGGACCGCTCAAATTGTTATTCTGAAGTCGAATCTCGGCAAGCGACATTAAGTTAGCTAGTGAAGAACTCAAGGTCCCATTAAGACCCAACTTAGGTAAATTAATGATATACACATTCCCAGATCTGCAGTTCACTCCCAGCCATGGCCCTGCACATGGATCATTCCCAGTCCAAGCAGTGACAAGCCTCGAAGGGTATCCCATTGCGCCGAGAAACTCGATCAGGGTCATGACTTGAGGGGCACAAGCAACCCCTTGCTCCGCTTGACAGAATTGGTTCGAAGAAAAAGTCACTTTTGATGCTTTAAACTTCGGGACTGGACCCATGAAATTGTTATTGTTCAAATCCAAATGGCTTAAACTCATATCAGCCAAGCTCTTTGGAATCATCCCAACAAATTCATTACCATTCAGATTCAGATCCTGCAGAAGAATCAAATCCCCAATATTTTCAGGAATAGTCCCAGAGAATTGATTCCCATGGAGCCACAAAGTACTCAACGAAGTCATCGTGGTCACCACATTAATAGAACCAGACATTCCACCTCCAACTTGATTATTAAGCCAAAACCTCGATAATAACATACCCTTAAAACTCGCCGGAATCCTACCGGAGAGTCTATTGTTAGAGAGCGCCAACACAGATAAAGAAGACATAGACCCAAGAAAATCCGGTAAGGGACCAACCAAATTACAACTCATACAAGTAAGATTCGTCAACTGAGCTGAATTGCTCAACGTCGATGGAATCATCCACCCAGAACTACCATTGAAATAATTCCCATCTAGAGCAAGAACTTCTAAACTATCCAGGCCTGTAAAAAAATCAGCCGGAATGGAAGTGAAATTGTTGTAATCAAGATACGCGTACCGTAGATTCTTCAGGCCATTGAACGACGGCAAGGGACCGGAAAATTGATTCTTCTGAAGACCGATGTTGGAGAGCATAGAGAGGCGATTGAAACTCTGCGGTAAAGGGCCTTTCAACCCCATCCCTTGGACCTGAATTTGCGAAACCCTCGTATCTTTGCAGAAAACAGAGGGCCATTTATTGCCGCATGGATCGTTATCATTGCGTGGCCATTTCAAGAGCTCTGGATTTTGCAACCCTTTTCTGAACTCATTGATAACAGCAAGATCATCGGGGTCGGTAGCGCCAAAACCCACAGAAAACAGAGCAAGAAGGAGTGCCAGAACGAGCTCTGTTTTAACATCTTCCATGGCAGATCTGCAGAAATGCTTGCAGAGAAGAACCTTCACAACCCCATTAATGGCGCTTTTCTCACAATACCCACATGAAATCCGGCAGTAGAGAGAAGAGAACCATGGGATTAGGATCATTAAAACACACCCAAGTCGAAGAACTAAGTGAAAAGCAAAAACGAAAAATGAATCAAGAGTTCGAAAATCGAAAAGCTAAATTACTCTGTCTTCAAAACGGAATAACGGGGAAGGAATCAAGCAATGGCGGAAGTTGAGAGCGAGAAAGGTGGATCCGTAACGACAAAACTTACGGGACAAGATCGGAAACTGAAAGAGAACAAAAAACAGAGAGAAAATGTTGGCGAGTGTGTAGCTTGTGAGAGAATTTATGCTTTGGTTAATGGTTTCTGGAAGTTCGGAACGCCACGCGCCTTCTTCTTCTTTCTTCCATTCTGTAGGAAGAGAAGGGTATTATTGTCTTTTTCACTTTTGGCGGTTACCCGGCGCCATCAAAGCCGAAGGAATATAACTTAGCTAACCGGAACTTCTCGACGGAAACTTTAAATAAAACGTGTCTGTTTAAAATAGAATAAAACTCGAATTATATGATCCAAAATGATTAATTATAACAATTTTTGTTTTTTGTTTTTCTATTTTTAAATTTAATTCTTTCATTGTTGCTTACCTCTTTTGCAATCTTTTAGCTATTCATAAATAATAATTATTACAATTATTACCAAATTTATTGTTTTACACTCAAATATTTTAAAGTTATTTATTATATATATTTTGTTAAAAGAAATTGCTTTTTTTTCTACCTGAATTATTTGAACTTGAATATTGGAATGTGAGTCGATTAATTCAATTTAATGCATTTTTTCCTTTAATATTGTGGTTTGATTAATGGTTTAATTTAGGTAATAATCACTTACATAATTAAACACATGAAATAAATAATAATAATAAAAGAAAAGGGATTGAATGAAAAAAATACAAAAAGAAAAAGATAGTCGATGGTATTTCCGTAATTTCGAATGCCGGGACTGAAGACGTGACTACGACTTGCGAGAAAATCACGGGAATTCCCGGTTGAATTTAACCCATGTCCACGTCACTCCGCCGGTTGCCGGTTTTTTCTTACGTTTTTACCCTATTTATTTATTTATTTATTCATTATATAATTTTGGCCACATGGGTCTTCTAAGATATTTCTCCTTCTATTTCCTTATAAAATTATAATATAATTTATTATTGTTATTTTGACAAATCTGACACAAACAATTANAAGTATTTTGAATAATATCATTATAAATACATATGGAAGTACACAATCTCAATAGTCTAACTCCAAATATATATTAATTATTATTTTAGTCTTAAATTGGTTGTTTTTATTTTATTTATTTATTTATTTATTCATTATATAATTTTGGCCACATGGGTCTTCTAAGATATTTCTCCTTCTATTTCCTTATAAAATTATAATATAATTTATTATTGTTATTTTGACAAATCTGACACAAACAATTAGAAGTATTTTGAATAATATCATTATAAATACATATGGAAGTACACAATCTCAATAGTCTAACTCCAAATATATATTAATTATTATTTTAGTCTTAAATTGGTTGTTTTTATTTTATTTATTTATTTATTGTACAAGTTTCACGTATAAATTGCTATCCACTTTTGACAGTAGGGTACGATTCAAAATGGATTCGACCGCGGAAACGCTATGCATATGATATTTCAAAATTCTCATTTTTACCTTTAAATTTTAGGGAGTTAGAATTTAAGGTTTAACATTTAAGATAACACAGAAAATGTAAAGGAGTGTCCAATCTTGATCCAAACACTGCTCATTAGAGTTCCTCAAAGCAGAATAAAGGCAGCCGCGGTGCGAAACGGGGTTTTACATGACACGCTGGACACACACAAAAGTGGGGTCCAAATCTTAAGGTTAGCCTTTTGTCTGTATTGTGGAGCCAAGTGAATCCAGTTAGCCAAACCCTGGATCCTTGGGTCCACACTTTTTTCCTTTTTTTTTCTCTCTCCAATGGTTTATTTTTTCAAATATTTAATATATGGTTTGAGACTAAATTAATATTTACAAATTTCTCGTACGTACCTAATGATATGTAGCGTGGACTATATTATAGATCGAATAAGAATTTGAATCTAAATTCGACACTTAATGGTTCCATTATTTTCTTGCATCTCTTGTTACATAACTACTTTATCCACATGTTTTAAAGTGCTTCTAAGAGTGAAACTATCTTTACATATCACACCGTCCACCCTTTTAGCATGGCTTTGTATTCACTTGGAGTATTTATAACTAAGTTATCAAACAAAAGTATACTTTGTTGGTATAAATAAATAACTATTGATTCTTTAAAACATTCTTAACCATCTTGTTCTTAGGATGTCTTTTACATGCAAGAAGTTTTGGTTCATTTATGTTCTCCTCTTTTACGTGAACGTAACTTATGGTTTTTATTTAGAATATAAACATCATAAATAAAGATCGAGAACTCGTTCTGCCATTTCTCAAGAGCCATCTTTAGGTAACCACTCTACCTTCTTGACCTACCCCTCATTAAATAATACTGCAATCTCTCTTTTCTCAAGTACTCGTCGACAACTTCTGAAGATGAGTAGAAGGAGGAGACTTCGTCAAAGTAGAGAGGCACAATAGTGTCCCCTAAATGCGTAACTGACATGTTCTATTCTATCTGTCCATCTGAGTCATCCCATACTGGGTTGGTAGTCAAGGCCGTCAGATTCATAATGTCACAGTCATCAGGCGTCAACTTAGAGAGCTTACCTAGAACTCGGTGAATACAAATATACAAATGCAGATTGTTAACTTGAAGCCGATATTGGCAAAAACTAACTAGGATTTCGGAGGAGATTCCAAATCACATTTGATGTATGCTTGAAAAATTCAAGTCTTCAAACAAAGCTAATCCTAATATATATATATAATTATACTTCATTGCAACTATTCGATCAAATCTTGAATATGGAGCGTTACAAAACTAAATTTAGCAGAAGTTAGGCTTAAAAGTTACCCAATTTATCCTACCCAATGATGTACTTAATTTCAAAAGATAATTCAAATAAGACATCAAATTAATTCAAACAACCTAATCCAAACCTAATTTAATTCAAATAAGTAATCTAACGGGGTGACCCAACTTGTAATGAACTATCACATTTGGAAATAGATGATTGGTCCACAATATATATACAATTTTTTCATTTAAAATTTTTTTAAAAAAAAATCTGGACTTTGAAACATTAATTAAGAGGAATGCAACATATAAGCAAACGGTGGTTAGTTGATTACATTACATAATTAAGATTGTTACATTAATATAAGAAACCCCCATCCTTGGTGACAGTGTAAGGCACAATCTAATACACAACCCCACTTTACCTCCAAAAGGTTCTTTTCTACTTTCCCCCTCTACCAACAACATTCAATTAACAACCAAAAAAAAACTACTTTTTATTTACAAATCCATTGGTGTCTGAAGAACCCTTCTTTTGTGGTGAATCCTCGTTCTCAATTTCTCTCACTGTAATAACAACATGATGGCCATTTTCATCTTCACCCTCAGCTTCCACAAACGGCTTTATAGCTCCTCTGTGAAGCAATTGAGGCTTCTCCACCGCCACACTGCCTTCCACGCTCTTGAAATGGGCCTTTACGGACAGCTCACCCACTGCTTCACACAAATCCTCCACTGATTTAACCATCTCGATCAAAATGGAAGCCACCGTGGCGTCGGGAATTATTGCAAGAAGGTTTGAAGGCTCGTCTGGGGTTTGTGTTGTGGCGGATTTAAGGCAGTTTTTGAGATCGTTGATGGCTGATTTGGCGGCGTTTAGATGCACTAGGGATGTGGGGGATGGATCACTCATTGTCTTCATTGCTGTGGCCAAGGCCTTGAGGGCTTTTCCTGATTCTGAGCTTAGGGTGTTGCATGGGGCTTGGATGATTGTTCGAAATTGAGATGGGTTTGGTGGTTGGAAATTGAGGTGGGTGTTGAGAGCTTGGATGTGGTAGGCACACTGTCGAGCATAGGATCCAATTTTCAAGTAATGTTTCCATGGGTGACGAAAGCTGAAGTTGCCATGTTTTGGTTCCCATCTTGCAAAGTTTGCCTGTCAGACAATAAGGCAAACAAAAATAAGGGTCTTTCTTCAATGATCAGCTGTACTCAACCCATAAGTTCTTACTGACAAAAAGTGAACCACCAATTCCTAAAGTTAGTGCCTTTCATGCAGCCCTACAGGCTAGTGGGAATGAAAACTTAAAAGGCTCATTCTTATTTAGTTTAAATTTTGTTGGTTCGTACGATATTATCCTCTTTAGACTTTTTCTCAACATTTCTAAAACACGTATGTCATGAAGAAGTTTTCATAACCTTATAAAAAATATTTTGTTTTTCCTCTCAATCAACGTGGGATCTCACAATCCATCTCCTTATAAACAATGTTTCATACCCTTTCGGGGCTCAGTATCCTAGTTGGCACTCGTTTTCTTCTCCAATCGATATGGGACTCATCCAATCCACTCGAATTGTGAGGTCTCACATCGATGGAAGAGGAGAACGAAACATTTTTCTTTATAAGGGGGTGGAAACCTCTCTCTCTAGCAGACTCGTTTTAAAATCCTTGAGAAGAAGTCCTTAAGAGAAAGTCCAAAGAAAACAATATCGGCTAGGGACTTGTCTATTTTAGAGGAGAAGGAACCCACCATGGAATCTTCCATGCTTTTGGAATTAAGTACAGCTTTGTATGCTTGAAGGAATGATTTGTCTTTTTCAATGGAAGTAACTTGTTCTTCATCATCACAACAGTAAAAATATTCCCCACCAAATCCTGAAAAAATTCAACATTTTTTCTTTAGAACTCTCATAGAACATCACTTCATCACTATTCATTTTTAGTGAAAAAGAATTCTAACCTTCAAGGTAATCCCCTAACTTGTCCAAATTCGAAGTGACCAAGTTGTGAAGCGTTTCACCAGCCCAAACAGGACATACAACAATGCAAATTATGATACAAATTGCTCCCCCAGCAACAATGGTAGATAGTCTTTGATACGCCATCGTCAAGAACTCGTCAAATCGATACGCCGAAACCGAAACCATACTAAAAGTTAATATGAATATCAACACTCCATAATCATATCTTGCTTTGATTCCTGGGAAGAATCTTGAAAATGTAGCTGAAGCAGCTGCAACCAAAAAAACCAATCAAATTTTGGTTAAACCCTAATGAAACCCTAATCCAATAATTAAAATCATTAATGTTTTTAATTAAGAAACAATTACCTATAAGAAAAACAAAGACACCCAAAACAAAGGGCTCTCCTTTTTGACCAGAGAGATTAGCCAAATAGTCAACTCCCACACCTAAACCACCAGC